CGGATACCTGCAAAAAGCCTGCTTATCGTTTTATTTAGACATCAGAATGCTCCCAAACTGTCTACTGATTATAACAGTGTATCTATTTGAACTGCTACTTCAGTCCCAGCTTGATTTTATCCTAGGCGGATTTGAATGTATTTTGAACTTTTTTAGCTAAGGTGGATATTAACGGTTTTCAATTTCGACTAAAATACTTGAATCCTCTCCCAGGATTCTTTATCAAATGTTATCCTTACCATATCAAAGTTTGAAAGATTAGTATATGGCGGTAACCCACGTCAACATTAAGTTATCTCGGGAGTCTCTGAAGATTCAGCTGACACAGAAGCGATCAATCAACCTTCATTTCTCTATTGGTATCTCAGAGTGACAGGTAGTTTTAATTTTCAAGGTACTAAAGGATTTATGACTCCAGAGAGTGGGTAGTGCTTGTTCACATCAATATCATTCCATTCACCCAACTTCATTTTAAATATTTATATGACGAAAAGGTTGAAATCAAGTTTTCCAAGTCGTACACAGCTCAATGCGAAACCAGTCACTACATGTATCAACTTTTTCAGTACTGTTCTGAGATGCAGAGAAAAAAGTGAACCAAGTCAGAAATCTGCATTTAACCTAGACGCTCCAGCAAAACTAGAGACTTGTGCATGAATCAATGTTTGCAGAGAACAGTGAACACATTGGAATTTAGTTGTAATAAAATCAAATACCACGACCTACTTTTCCTCAAACTTTACTTAGCGTGATGGGTGATAAATTGCTAGTCCACTGAAGATGCCAGAGGTATTCGAAGTTTGACAACGCTTTAACCAGTAACAATTTCTAATATGAATCGTACCCACCAAGTGAAATCAAAAGATAGAAGCGAGAAGGTTCGAAGATATATTTGATAGGCTATTAATATATCGAGGATCGTCTGACCTAATCTGGCTAGCGATTGCAGGGGTTGTTGAGCACGGCGTTCTCACTCGTGATCTGGTACGGATGCATGATCGAGCGCCTTCAGCTTGGTGAGTCCATTAAAACTAATGTGGTCAGCATCCACTGTCGAAAACTTACAGAGCTATTTATTTTGGGGTTTATTTACCGCTACACCATAAATGTGCCTCATATTCTTCCACCATATTATTCTTAACTCTTGAAAATGCTGAAGTTATTGCAAACTATCTTTTCTCGAGTGACTATTATGGTAGGAGAGTGTAATTCTTATTCGGGCCTCTCTCATTGTGTCGTCATAGATTTCTTTATGTACTGAAGTTGGTTATTTCTTGGTCGTATATATATCTTGCATCCAAATATCTGGTTTTGAAGTATCGTGAACGGAATAACAGAGGTCGGTAGAAGACATTAAAGAGATTATGAAACAAATTACAGCATAAAAGTGAGAAACTAAGTTCATGAACGACAGCCTCGTCTTCATAAATGTCTAAAGGTTTTGGCGCAAATTCATCGAATAAATATTCCAGTATTGCTCTTTTTCGAAAGAAAAGTAAGTCGCTAGTATCTACAAATCATAGGCTGGAGAAGAGGTTCATTTTCCATTTGACGGTGGAAGAGATTGGCGTGAAAGGAATTGATTTGTAAATTAAGAATCAATTTTAATATGGTGTAAAAGCCATATTTAATACACGAAGTGAAGGATTATTAAGAAAAACGAATTTAATAAAGTCAAGATCACCTGATGATATTTAATAAGAGCATTACAGGTGTCAGATTAGCTTACATTATCCGATCAATAGTCATCATTCACTAAAGTATACAACCAAATTTCAATTTCTTGTCTGAACACAGATGATCCGAAAAATCCAAGTTTATTTGATTGAGTCAAACTAAGTTCCTTTATAAAATGTATGAAATCTTTTTGAGCAAACAGTACTAAATTATTTCGAAACACCAACCACTTTTTCAATCCAAGAAGTCTTAGTGTAGAAGAAAAACAAACTGGGTCAGCAAATAGCAGTTAAATTTCTGAAAAACGGTAAGAATATTCTCAATAAAATAGGACGCAAATGTGGTTGCATGGAGTCAAATAATCGTTTTCGTTAGTCACTCAAAGAATAACGATGATCTACTAAATCACATCCTAACCTTAAACTCGGCCAAACTGGACCTTAATGACAGATCCCGTAGACCAAGCAGCAACAAAACTAAATAGCAAGGGTAATTGGAGTTAACTACTCAAAGCTTAATCAAAGAAGATTACGAAATGTGAAACCATGTTCACACGAGTCCAGGATGAAAGTTAAAATACAAATTAAAAAGGGAGAACAAAGGAAAAAATTTTCTGTACAGAATTTCAGTGCTGTTTATCGTCGCTTAATTTGCATAGTCTTGAATTGAAACCAAATCATTTAAAGACTCATCTGCCTAATCCACCATAACATGATGACCAGCTTATCGTTCTTCTTTAATGCACCTAGATAACAGATGGAATCTTATCATAAGTAGTTTATATTTAAATGTAAAAAATAAATCGTTATTATGTCCAAATTTTATTCATTCTCTAAGGAAGTGGCTTACACTGGGTCACGAAATGTCAGATACATTAATTTTTCTACTCATTGGGATATTACAAAAATATATTTATTTATTTATAAAGATAATGTCAGTTACGATCAAATGAGTGGGTTGTTTGGAGAACTGCCCATGTTTCAGAAGACTGTCAAATGCCAGCTAGAAGTTGTTGGAACAGAATTTGACACCGTGTGATCATATATCAATTAACAACAGTTGACAGGTAGCTCAAAATAAATATTAGACAACCAGATATATGAATATTGTCATCAAAACAGCCAAACAAAAGTCTGAAACATCAGTTGTTTATGAATTTGATGTAATTTTGTTGTCTCTTTGAGTTAGTGCTTTCAGTAGTCTAACACTGGCCAGCTATAACGAAATAATAGGTATTGATCAATCGGAATTTAATGAGGCCAACCAAATTTCAATTGTATCAATCAACTAACCTCGTTGCATTTAGCTTGATAGATAATTTCGTCACAGTTCATAGTTATTTCACTGATTTCAGAGTGTGTTTTACCGGTTTACCAATGGAAGATATACTTAATGATGAGATCCTAGTAGATTCAGTCAGACTGGGACAGTTGGCATCAGGTGTTGCAAGTATATCCATGTGAACCCTGATGAACACTAGTTAAACAAAAAAAAAATGTACATCATTGTAATTTAATCCATTTAAGATCCTACTCTATCAATTTATCATCCCTGATTACCATATAGCTTTAATTCTAATCTTACTACCTGCTTTTGTTGATAAGCTCAAGTACATCGTATCTTAAACTGAGCTGTCAGCTCACTTCTATTATATTTCCTACAGATTCTTTTGTACACACTATCTTTACCACTCCTTTAATAAATAGTATACCTTCGTCATAGAAACATACACACGGAAGAGCTGGACACACCAGATTATAGCAATATTCATGCAAAGTTCCCAGTAAGCTGTGCTTATGTATTCTTTGTTCCCAAGTCAATCGTTGGTTGATAACTAGGTAATAGCTTTGTAGAATACTGAATTTATATTTGTCCCAAGATCTAATTAGATCATGGTGCGTTCAGTTAGATGGATAAAATCCAACATTAGCTTTTGGTGCATATGTATTATTTGTTAATAAAAAATTAAGTCAGCGACATATTGTATGACTTCAGACATTAAAGTTTATTGAAACTAACGGAAAAAGCATAAAGTAATGTATGCCTGTAAAACTGCTTGTTTCGAGGAGTGACGTGATCCTCCAGTTATATTTCACCATCTAAATGCATAGAGATTAATCAGCTCATCTTAAAATACTTGAGTATTCGGTTTAGAAAGTGGTTAAATGTCATTGTATTATGATTCTTCAACTGATAATTTCCATTGTCGATATAGTATTTAGTCCTTTTGTTTGACGGCTCTAGTTAGAGTAGCTCCGCTCCAAACCTGTGAAACCTGAACCCTATGAGCTTAGAATACTCGGAGCCTAATTGGTCAATCACAGTTATCCACAAAGAAATATTTAGATTCCGTAACAGCACCATGTGAATCATTTTCAGAGTTAGGCTTTGTTTGTACAGATTGTGATGATCACTCTATTAAAATTATTGTGTTTTAGAATACCCACTTCGGTGATAGGAAAATGTCTTACGAATATCTCCTTCTCCAATTACTTATCATAACTAAGTGTGAATAAAGTAAATGGAGAGACATTCATTTTACTATGGAGTGAAAGACAGTTGTATTTGACTGGGACTTGTTGGTTTATCAAGAACATTTGAGTGAAGTTGCAAAGATAATAATACTCAAAGAATGTAGACTTCGCCAGATGTGTTCCAAAAAGAAGACACCAGGCATTCTGATATGGTTTTCTACTGAATTCTACATTTAACTGTGAGAGAAATTTTAATGAAAGAGATGTATTCTGATTGTTCTCATAACTGAGCTATACCTCATAGATACTATTCTTTTCAAATTGTTGGATGGCTATATAGTTGAGGATTTCGTATTGCTTAATTTATATTTTGAAAAATAAAGAAATGGTTCTCTCATGAACTCCACTCGTGAAGTTTAAATTATATTAACTATCGTCAAATCATAGTATGAACGTACAGACGTTTCCCAAGAAGTAAAAACCTGTTAAATAGAAGGAATATAATGACTGATAATATATTGAAGTTCATACAGAATTTCAATCTAATCGTATTTAATTTTAATTAAAACGAATAAAATACCTTAAATTTTATATTTTACTGATTACTGTATCTTATTTACTGCACTGTTCTAAGCTTACCAAACAACTTAAAATATGCAATACCAGCCAGACGATTGATTAAAATACTGACATTAATTTTTGAGCTCTTATGTTTGACTACAATAAAATAATGTTACTTTTCTTTTTAGAGAAAACTAATAACCCAGTGTTTTCCTTTAAATAAAATAATCATGCAATGAAAAACTATATCAAAGTATACACAATGTAATGATATAAGTATTTATATAATTAAACTTCGAATCCATAGATTGTTCTCATTGTTTGTAAATCATCTCTACTAAGTGAATAAATATGTCGAAATAAACAGGGAAAAGATATTTGATTTCTAATACATTCTGATGAATTTGTATTAGATTGTAATGTTGATAGTTCCAGTTTGTATTTATGTCTTTGCCTTTCGATTGCTAACTGTTTCTCTGATTCCGGTTGAAAATGGAATACCTATAAATTAATTTTATTTTGAAAGAAAAATAATACTCAATTAATCAGTAAACAATTCATATGAAATATATGAGACAAATTTATGGCATAAGATGGTATTTTATGGTATGGTATATTTCCAAGATATATATTGCTGTAAAAGGAGGTGACAGTAAATTGATAACGTTGTGAACTTATAGAAAGTAAGCTGTCTGCATCGTATGTTCTGTAAAGTGATTCGCTATAATGGTTAAAAAAGTTCGGTAAATGTCCACTATTGAAAAAAGGAGACCATGGTATTGATCAACGATATTGTTATACTTCCTATGTATGTTGGAAATCACTGGTTTAAGACAATAGGTATCATGAATCAACACTAATGCAAATGTTTTCAGACTCAATTCTCGTATATTTATTTTACCATTCTACAGCAAAACCATCTCTGGGCAAACGCAAACAGATTCTAAGCTATCAAAATACCACACTGTAAGTGAGACATGTAAGCTCGTGTGGCAGTGCTACAGTGAGTAAGCAAATGCTTCACATGACCATGGTCGGCACTCAAAGATCCCTGTTCAGATTCTTCCATTAACCTATACATGCATATGAGTAGTATACATCGGTATTTGTCTGTAGATAACAAAGTTTTCTGTGAAATGGTAGTCTTCGTTCTTTATAGAGTAGGTTAATCAAGCGTGTGATCATTAACTGATTCAGTCAGCAGACGACAACAAAATCTATTGTTTAATGACATTGAACTATTTGTTGACATTGTCGATCTGGTCTCTAAATTCAATGATGAACATATAATTAATAAGTCTGATATTAAATGTTTTCTAATTATTTATTGTAACTAACAGTAAGTTTAAATATATATCAATAACATGTATTCACCTTTATGTAGTTACTATTCGTTTATGATTTTAGATTATTTACGGAATCGGGAGGAAGCCATGCTCGAATTGTGTGATTTCAATTACATTTCTCCTAAGATGATACAGTCAAACTGCTGATAGTTTCAGTCATAGTTACCTGACAAATCTATCATCCTTATCATAAATACGGTCCAGTTAAATCTAATCCATAAGTTATAATTAAAATGACTCAAGTATTAATTACTTAATCATCATTATATTAAACATTGGTGATAAATGTTGTGTCCCGATAAGAATAAGGAGTGGTAATTTTTTGAGATCTATTTATGGACCAATATTGTACGTATATATTTTTTCGTATAGTTGTTAATCAACTAAACTATTCATATTCATGTCTCTCTTATCATAAGCTTTATTTTAACCTATGAACTGTTATTATACAATTTTCCATTCTTGAATTATTCCCTGCCTATTAATCACTACCTCCCACATTCACAGCCACATTTGGCTAAATCTTGTACAAATGTCATTTTTTATTTTATGGTACGTTGTGGTCTGTTTGATTGGTATATAAATCAAATACATTTGAAATACATGATTCATATCCCAGAGGCTCGAATTGATGTTCTGGGCTTAACTGGCTGGGCTAGGCAGAAAGCAGGACGAATCAGAGATCTAGGTTGCTCGCAAGTGTTTTAAGCGTCATTGATCCGATCGATAATTCACTGCTTTCTAATCGGCGGTCACAAGTTATAACAAGAAACCATTACCGTTAATTAAATTTGGATTTCCTTTATTATCAAAACGATAGTTAATTCAAACGGAATATTTTAAAGAAAAAAAATAAAAAAATAATGGTAACTAGGAGAACTTAGTTAAAAGATTATGAAGAATGAGAAATAGACGATATTTCAACATTCACATAATAAAGCTTAATATCAGAATGGGTTTTTGTGGATATTTTAGTAATTTTAACAGTTGAGATCATGTTTCAGTTGAAGCTAGACCACCATGAAAACATTGGACACTCGTTTTGTCATAATATTGGACTCCTCACCAGAGAGCACTCACGATCCCGCTTCGCGAGATTCAAACTCAGGGACTATTGGTCTCGCGCGCGAATGCTTAACCGTTAGACCACTGAACTGACATCAAACGATATTAATGTCTAACTTCAACTAATCCACATAATTGAGCGCACTGCCGAGGAGTCCGATACTATGACGAAACAGCCGTCCAGTGTTTCCAGGTTTTTCATGGTGGTCCAGCTTCAAGTGACTCATGATTTCAAGCTTAACTTTGAATTAATCGGTCTACATAAATTCAAAAGACATAATCAATGTAATACATCAATTTACAGATAAAAACAAAAAAAGATTTGTTCGACAATAAGTTCCTTTTTTGACCGATGGAGTCTAATCTGTGCCTTATTTTGATCTAGAATTTATTATTATACGATTTACTGTCCCTAAATTATGCTCAGTTTACTAACTATTGCTTACCACGTTCACAGTCACTTTTTGGCTTTATGTGTACAAATGTTATTTCCTATTTTATGGTGCGTTGCGGTCTGTTTGGTTGATATATAAACCCAGTATGTTTGAAATATATGATTCGCATATTGGAAGCTGATATTTGGTCTCCTGGACTCAAGTGAACAGGATAGGTGGACATAGGACCAAATAAGGATGCTAGACTGCCAATACCGAGCGAACGTCATTAATCTGACACAGTGCTAAGATTGTATAAGTCGTATTTTGATTGGTGAATAGATCACATGATAAAAGCCGGACATAAAATCATAACCCCCCCCTCGTCGAGATTCGAACCCTAGACCTATCAGTCTCTCCCTCCAGCGCTTAACCATCAATTTCAAATCATCATTTTTACTTACTATTGAATTACTAATTAATTTATCCAATTCTGAAAAGAATTCCATTGATTGTTGGTGAATTTTTTCATTGATTCCTGATTCTATTGATTCTATTTTACAGATACAATATTCAAAATTGTGTTTATTATTGATGAAAATATTATTATCACTGATAAATTGATTTTTATAAATATTATTATTAGTTTTAGACAATTTATTAAATAATCTTCGAAATATTGATTTTAATATTGAATGAGATTTGAATTGTTTCTGTTTCATTTGTACTGTATTATAAGTAGTATCTTTATTTAATTTCATAACAATACAATGTGTATGATAGAATTTATCATTAAGATTTTTATGAATTTGTTTAATATAACATTGAATAAGATCAGAATTTATTAAAGATGTATGAATGATATTGAAATGATCAAATTTCTCCGGTATTACTATATAACCAATCCATAATTGTTTAAATGTAATTGGTTGACATAGCATTAATGTAATTGAGTCAAATGAATTAGGTAATTCATAATTTCTATTAGCTATAGCAATTAAATAACCCCATCCAATATGATGCCATAAATAACTTAATTCAATTAAATTAATATTTGGTATTTGATGATTATTACCCATATAACGTACAGATAAATTGACTGGATATTCACAAACAATAACATATGTGGACTGTGATTGATACATTTGTTTTAAACTATGAATATTTGTTTGTAATGGAATTGTATTGAATGAAGAATAATTCAATTTAGATAGTGAATATGTTTGATGTTCTAGATGATTTTGTTGATTTGAAGGTATTAAATTTTGTAAAGAATGATATTTTTTATAAACATTTTCTGTATATAAAGTTTTCAATGTATCATTCGATGAAATTTGTCCATCAACTTGATCATTGATAGGAATATGATTTAATTGACCTTGTGAATAACCTTCATCAGACATTATATTAGTATATGAAAGATTGTTTACATTGTTTTTAACTAAGTTAGATATATTAGGAATAGAATGATGATGATGATGATATGGATTGTGAAATACTGTTATATTTCTATGATTTTCTTTCATTATAAATTGTGTTTTATCAATTGTACATTGTAATTGTGACTGTTTATGATTGACATTGTTGTTACTAATACATTTCGAACTGTTCATTAATTCATTGGGATTAATTGAAGTCATAAATTTGTTGTATGTTTTATGTTTTTGTTTTATTGAAAAATCAGGTGATAAGTTTTTTAATAATTGAATTGGGTGTTTCATTTCAATTTGACTATGTGAATTCATGTTTGATAAATGACATTTATGATTTTAATTTACAGTCATACATTTATATGATACATCATTAATTGAATTTACAAACTTAGGATCTATACATTGAGTGTATTTCTATGTGTTTAAGTGTGTACGTGTGTGCATGAGTACGTATGTACGTGTGGACGAGGGTAGGCGAGAAGTTTTACTTTTTGTTCAGAAATGATCATAATCACGTACCACTTTTTTTTTTTATAAACTGATTTTTCTAGTCACTATGATCTATTACTCTTACTATACGACAGATACAATTAGATTATTTCATTGATTTTGATTGACATGTAAAATATCATGCAAGTATATAAAGAGTTTATGCAAAAACAAATTAGATAAAGATAAAATACTGCAATCAAAGTTGTCTTAATTCTATTGACATCACAACTATTATCTAATAACTATTGATTTTTGTGAGAAAAAAATTACTCAATAAGTTAGTTATTATTTTTTATTATTTACGACCTGTCACTTAATTTTACATACCATTTATTAGCATAGTGATATGACAGTAAGATAATCGGATTATGTCACCTTTATAATATTAATACTTGATGTATAATAAATACTAAACTTAAGCCATAATACAAAAATATTAAAGATGTTCTATAGATACATAGGTGATAGTAAATTAGTTTTCATTAGAAATTCGCATTACAATTAGAGAATAGTTATTATTAACTATGAAGTACTAAACAGCTATTCTGTTCCAGTTAATTTAAGTGTCCTAAAAATTATTTACTTAGAAACGATCTGGGATGAAGACGGTTTTCTGAGATTTTGATAAGATGAACTTTTCGATTGTTCAAAGCAATAAAGAGAATGCTAATCATAGATGAACGCTATGATTTAATGTGGTTAAATGATGGCTACTCACGAGGTTATATTATTGACTTAAGCCTTTGAATGATTAGAAATCAAAGAGAAGATCACTAGCTGGATGGATTGTGTTTTTTTTCACGTAACAAAATAACATGCTTATGTACAAAATCTTAACAGAAAATAACCATGATAAAATGTCATAAGCGATTGGACAAAATTAGCTTGTAAGCCATGCATTCTTCAATCGATTGAAGCCTGACTGTTAGGCCTAATCTCCGGACATCATATCACGATGAAAACTAGTAATACTGAAGTACTTAATGTTATCTCTCTTTAAAAGAGATCTCTTGATGTCCTTGTGAAATCTTTGATTTGTGAAGTCAATCAAGTTGGGAGCAAGATCGTAATTTTTTATTAGTATTTGTGGTGTGTGTGCTACTTATATACTCGTGAACAGAAGGTCTGGCAGCAGACGGACAAGAGGATCGAACAATAAAGAATGAAAACAGGATGCAATTTGTATGAAAATGCAAGAACAATGAAGTCTGAGTTATTTTGAGACAATTGGTGGACATTTTGCAAATTAAGCATTTACTTTATGATTGTTAGAGTTTATTAACAAGTCCAGTAATTTCGTGTTAAATACATTCCATTCTCCTCACCCGTGTTCTGTTCACTACATTGCATAAACCAGTAGTTTCAAGATATCGCACTACCTGCACAGTACGAACAAGGTAGTCTTTAAGGAAGATAAGTCAATGGTAGATTTAGCAATAATATAGTTGGTCATTTACTTCCATTTAAGGATATCATATGAAGCATCTACCTGGTCAAACTAAGTTTTTCTGAATGACGAGTAATAGTCGTCGGAGAAAAAATTCATATTCTTAAACTAACCTTCCTAAATTTCTCCAAGTTTCCATTAAAATGAATACGATACCCTTTATCAGAGCCTTAAAAATTATATTTTTCATATAATAAATTTAATGACATGGTTAATATTCATTGTGAACTTGTGAAGAATTGTTGAATATTTACGAAAAGTTATCCAGGTCCGTTTTATTATAAAGCTAATTAAACTAAAGATGTAAAGGATATAACTGCCTTGATGGATTTACGCTGAAGTGCTTTTTCTGCTGTAAATATTACAATTTTTCCTTTTTATTGATGATTATCTCGTCTTAATGTTGTAAGTGAAAGTGTGACCAAGTAGCTAACATATCAGGTGTTTTTTAAAAAAATCTTAAGTGTTGCTTTCTCACATTACCTACATAACCTTTGTAACTATTCAAATATACTCTTTCATCTCGACAAATAGTTTTGCATCTTATTATAGTGTTATTCAATGAAAGTCTCAAGTACAATCACTCAGATTAACAACTAGTCAACCATAGAACATGCCATAATTTTTACTATGACATTATAAGATGAAGCATGTTTTTATGTTGTTATTTCGAACAAAATCATCTAGTTACCTCAGTGTTTGTTTCATAGTTTGTATAGTATTCACAATATGAGTAAAGAGTTAACATGCGGTTTTTTTAAAAAAAAACAAATATATTTATGATATAATTGGAAAATAAAACAGTTAAGTATCAAATGGTGATTAAATTTCATAAGCTGAAATATCACAGTATTAATTTAAATCTATTTGTTTATTTACTAAATGTTACACTTCTCAAAATAATAAACCTTTCATTTAGCGCTAACACATAGTAACTAAGCAACAACAAAAAAGAAAGAAAAATAAACAGTATACAATTAGATTGTCAAATTTTATATAAAATACTACAGATCTAATTTTAAATAAACAAAATGGATTCATTATATATTTTATAATGATCCAATTAAACTTTACATAGAAACATCTATATTAATTATCATTAATGAACCAATGTATCCATGCAAAAAATACAAAAAGTAATATATATATATATATATATATATATATATATATATATATATATATGTAACAAAATTAAAGCAAACAAAATAATGATAATTCAACATTCATGATTATAATCTTCAATATTCAAAACAAAAGTGTGAAACGTTCTAGGAAACAAAATGTTTATTAGAGAGGAGAAAAGAAAACATAAGGAAAACCCCCCTTATTCTATTGAGTTTTACTTTAAGGTTCTGGATCATAGTTATTAAAGATATCATAATAAATAAATAAGATTGATATATTACTACTTTTTATGAGTGTCTTTTGTTGTTGTTGTTGTTGGGAAATTCACAACATTTTCAATCTTATCAACAATGGTATCTGTTTAACAAAATGTTTAAGCCAATTGATTGGTTTAAACAAATTACTATAAAATGTATAGGTAAATAAATAATGAATGACTATCAAAAACAAGACAATAAACAAATCGGTAGAGAGAAAGATTTTAGGCTAGAAAAAGTTTTGGTATAAAAAACAATACCATACGTATTTGTTTACTATTCTAGAACACGATAGAAGCAAAAGCAAACAAAAATAGGAAAGAGAATTCTTGATGAAACTGTTTTTAATCCCTGAGGTCATTAGAGATTGTTCCTGTCTGTTAGATTACCTTCTTTTCCACATCAATCTTAATCATTTTTTATAATTGATCAGTCTATAATTTATAATTAGAAATGACCGAAATAAGATATTGGCAGCTGTTGTAAGAAAAAAAAAGATCAAAAGAGAATGAGTTGTCTAATTTAAAGTTCACAATGTAAAGATACATATCATACACATGTATTCCTGATAGTAACATTTTGAATTCTATGAGTTTCTGTCAGAATATAATAATTTTGAAAGGATAGAATATTACTGACTATATTTTGTGCTAGTGGCCAATTGTTGAATTTAGAACATGGATTTCGTAATCTAATCAAACTTTAAGTATAAATAATATCAAGACATCTATCAAGTAAGGGCCTATATATAGTCACAGAGTCTAATCACATTAAGTCTACCACACCTAAGATAACTTTAAAATCATAAAAAAGGTTGTTTAATGAATTAAGTTTTCCTGCAGACATAACTATCTGATATGATAAGCCAATCTGAACTGGACCAACGAGAAGTTCAGTCGATGGCAATCAGAAGTGTCCTGAAGGACAAATGCATTTTATTGTCTATGAAGTGGATTAATTCCCTAAGGCATAGAGTTGTAAATGTATAAATTTGTGCATTTTATTTGGTAGTCCAACATACATTTTCAACCACTCTTGTCTTCGCGCTCAACTAGTCAGCCGGGGGAGGAGTAGCGGACAGCACGTCGTGCATCACTATCAGATTTCGGACACCGCCCATCATAATATTATCATAGTTTCGTCAGAAAAATGTTTAATATATCACTGTAAGCGTTACGATAAAATCAATCTCGGGTGTTGTTATATATAGGAAACGATGGAGCAATTAAGTAATAGTTAGCTCGTTTGTGCACTATCACTTAAAAAAGATCCAATCCAAAGTACAAGTGAGAAGAAATATATGAAAACATTTCACATTTGAAATGAATATAGTCCATTCATAAGTTTCCTAGTACGAAATTTAATTAACAACATTTTAAGTCAATAAAGAAGCTATGGGTGTATAAAATCAAAACCGTAAAACTTTAGGAAACAAAAATAATAATATTTTGTTAATTCATTGATACAATACAATAAAACAAAATTTTGTTAGATATGAAAGAAATACTTACCTTAACTAATATGCCAAGTTGATCTTAATGAGTTAGTATAAGGACGATTATACACATTAGGATGTTTTAAATGTGGTTCATGTAGATTATAATGATTCATTTTTGACGGAAATGTACCAGATGTTGTTGTCATTACTGGGATTGAGGACGATAATAATGAATCGGTCGTTGGTGCTACTGATATTGTTAGTGGTACAGTATAGTCTACTTGTCTTTGGAGGTTTATTGATGGTCGAAACGAATCAGATTTCAATTGATCTAATGTATCTCTGTAATATAAAAGATATTAGCAGAATATTAAGATCTAATGGATTGTTGTGACAGAAGTCAATCATATGAGGTATACTTTCAAGAACTATTTTTGACTAGTATTTTTAGAGGCGTGAGTATTATTTATTTCTACCTTTACAATAAGTTTAAGTCATTATTTTGTATGTATACTTTCCGAGGACGTTCTTTTCATCAGAACAATTTTTTGGAACAAAACAATACAGTAATTTAACATTTTTTAAATATGTAATACATCACAACACCACCAGTTTATCCATTTCACATGGAACATTTAGCCAGTTTATATTACTAAAGGATTTCAATCGTTAATATCAGTTTGCGAGTTACTCATTAAATTACACCTAAATATTTCCTCTCAATAAACATCCCAGATATGGTGATCGTTTGGAGTACTGAAGATCAATATCATGTACTTTGAAAGAAATTGAATAAACAGATGAATTTTCTCTTCAATAAATAGATAGATCTCCACTTAAATTTAGACAAAAATAAGGGCCACTATAGGATTTCTAGTTATATATATATATATAAAAGATATCTCCTGGAATTCTAGTGAGAAGCAGTGACTAGTGAAGTTCAACCAGGTCTGTTGTGAGATAATAACTCACTGAAGATATTGGTGGATGTGTCGCTCAATTTTGCGGATTAATTGAAGTTAGAAATTAACATTGTTGGATTCAGGCTCAGTGGTCTAGTGGTTAAGCGCTCTCGCGCGAGACTGATAGATCTAGGGTTCGAATCTCGCGAGGCGGGTTCGTGAATGCACACTGCTAAGGAGTCCCACAATCGGACGAAACGGTCGGCCAGTGCTTCTAGGTTTACCATGATGGTCTAGCTTAAATTGACTCATGATCTCAACTATTAAAATTACTAAAATCTTCACAAAACCCCTTTTGATAATAATTCTTATATATTTATATTTTGAATAATCACATCTCTCTGAACGAACTTTATTCAAACATTAATATAAATATCTGACTTAAATTATAATGCCAATTTTGAAATATCACTGTTTCACCAAATATTAATTTCTGACTTATTATGGTTTTCAAAGTTCACTGAAGTAGATCCATGAGTCATTCGAATAAAAATGTATAACATTAATATAAACGTTATACAGGTAATGAATCTGATGAAGACAAAATTCATTTTGACCAATATAATGTTGATATATCAAATTATATTTTTATATTAATCAAACAATAAATAAGAAGCACATTTTTTCCATATGCGATAACCATGATAAACAGTTTCAAAGGTGTATCAACTTATGATAAATAGTAATCTAGAATATGCGTTATGTATTGTCACATATAACTGTACTGTTATGTTATATAAACTGTATTACAAGGCTAATGGTAAATTGGAATTTCTAAGGGAAAAAGAAAAAAAGAAAACCAAAAAACATTGCTCTGGGAATTGGAAGAAAACGTCGAAGGAATAAATAGCAACTGGAAACAATTGCCCAGAATAGAGTTCAATGGAGAATGCTGGTAGGAAAACTATGCTTCTCCACAAAAGGTAACAAGAGTAATTAAGTATGTTATAATTTTTCAGGGAATTTATTTATACTACTTATTCTTCTTTAGATTTATGATTACTAAATTTACTAAAATTATTAGTAGCTGAAATTCCTTTGATTTTTTGCTATTTATTTGTTGATATAACGAAAATTCATGTAGTGCATAATAATGAAAGTAATAGGAACAAAATCATTCACAATGGGTTATTCGAATTCAAAAGATATGTTCTCTTAAATCTAGAGTTAAGTGTCCTTTTGTACATTACATTCTTTAACCCCATTTAGTTTCTTATGAATTATATTTACGTTTAGCCTTCCATCGATGATATTATATTAACTTGATTGTTAATTATCTTGTTTTGTCTTTGTTCTTTTGCTAGTCTAAGGTGTTTCAAATTTTACCAATGCTCAATCGCGTCAGGTCTCATGTTGTCTCTGACTAAATGTGTAACTGGATGGGGAAATTAACAGATTTTTAATGTAGCATATGATATGTGCTTTTAATTGATAATGATTTATTTTAAGTGAAGGTCAATTACTCACTAATGTGGGTAAATTTAAGTTTATTAAACTTTTAGGAATGTCTTTACGGTGACGAAAATTTCTGAACTCTAGTAAGCGGTAAATAAAATCATAACGATCTACTAGATTAAATTCACTTAGTTTTGTTTACCTGAATCTTCCCATTAATGTCTAAGACTGCGATTGATCAGTCTCTTGTTGGCATAAGTGAATCCTGTGTGGATTGCCTTGATACTGTCTTACGTCACAAGCCTTATACTCAAAGATGGATGGTGACTAGCAGTGGAATCCAGGACGTGCGTTCCTTCCTATTTGGGACTTGTTAGATGGAAGTACCTGCACCCTAGAGTTGATGTTTGGCGTTTAAAGTGAACGGTACTGGGTTCGAGTCCCACGGTGAACATGAACTCTGAGATGCACTTATATTCAGCTGACAAGCCCCAAATAGGACGAAACGTGCGTCCTAGATCCCATTGCTAGTCACCATCCATCTCTGTTTATACATTTACTATATTCTTTGTTTAATGTTCGGTCATATGCAATCTTTAATTTACATCTCTATAAACGTCCATGGTGAACATAATAATCTCTCTTTATCAAGAGATTGCATAAAGAATGTATCTTTGAATAATATCGAAAATTTTCCCAAAGAAAAAGAAACTAAGATCACATTTAAAAGATCCTGAAATATTGCTTTTTTTCACTGCATTTTTGAAGATCCGTTACGTTTTGCAATTTGGTAGGATTTAGCGTAGCGGACTACAAACATCTTCACGTTTTGAACACTGTTCGACTTCTGTAAATTTTTTTCAGACATTATTATTTTCTTAGCCTCAACTGTTGACAAGTAATTTTTGAAACTGTGAATACAAATTTTTTTTCCACAACACAATTCATATTTCGATGGTATAATGAGAAGACGAAGATTATCAGAACTATGTGATGTGTTAGTGCAATACATTACGAACAAGCTGATCACACATATACTTGTTGAGAACAAACCAGGTCTGTTGTGAGATATCAACTTACTAAAGACAATGGTGTACTGTGGCTCAACTTCGTGGAATGGTTGAAGTTAGACATTAACACCGTTGGATGCCGGCTCAGTGGTCTAGTTAGTTAAGCGCTAGCGCGCGAGACTGATAAGTCCTGGGTGCGAATCTCGAGGGGGGCGGGATCAAGGATACGCACTGCTGAGGAGTCACATACTAGGACGAAAAAGTCGTCCAGTGCTTCAGGGTTTCCGATGGTGGTCTAGCCTCAGTTGACTCATGATTTCAACTTGTGAAAAAATATATATATATATATATATATAAGATCAACTAGACTGGAAACGGTTTAAGAGGAGACGTGGATAATAATAAGAGTAATAATAATAATAATGTGGACAAAATTTGAAACCTATTCACTCTGGATAATATATATATATATATATATATATATATATATATATATATATATATATATATATATATATATATATAAGATCAACTAGACTGGAAACGGTTTAAGAGGAGACGTGGATAATAATAAGAGTAATAATAATAATAATGTGGACAAAATTTGAAACCTATTCACTCTGGATAATAAGTCAATATTACCAGTATTACATTATCAAAATTTATCAAAGGAATTAATTGCTTTACAATTCATATTCATCAGTTCAAATCAAAACATGAATAGATAAATTAGATTTATTCAACGTACCTTGCTTTTTGCAATCTAAGCATAACAGATTTATCATATAACTCGTTTGAATAAGACTCTCTATTAAATGACTGTAGTAATAAAAAATAATAACAAAAAAAATAAGATTTTTCGAAATGAATCAAGTTTGCATTAGAATAGTCATATTTTATCCAAATCATTGACAAATATATGAGGCAGTGGCTTTATTCAAAATAGATGGTTGGAACTGTGATTGATAATATGCATTTCGTCCTATTGAGAATTTATCAATTGAATTTGCCTCCTGATTAAAATTCATTTAGGAAAAAAATATCAACAACTCAAATGATTCAAACTTAGACACAAATTATTCCAGCTAGATTGGGTGAGACTATAATTTATGAACTGTTGGGGTGATCCAGAAAATTGCTTGCAAAAGACAAGCAAGCATAAGGAATCACTAAGAAGCGTTTCGTCCAATCAGCGTTCACTTGAAGTTTTTGCCAAAAATATTAAGGATGCGAAACGTCACATGTAGAGGTTCTGATTGACTGGTTGCTACACTGCTACTATGTTTAGTAGCATTCCAGAATCTTCTAGCAACCCAAGGACATTTAAAATATTATAAAAACCCTTTATTTTCTGTAATAAAACGAAACTTGGAATAAGCTACTTCTCGCATACTTTGAGTCTTCTCTCTCGTGTTCAGGTCGCTGTATAGTTCTAGCTTGAGGGTTATAGAATAGCTTAGAAGACGAACATAGCGTTCAATCCACAAGACTTATCATGAACCCTGAGAATGTTCACCTAATAACAAGGATTAAATGAGGTTTATAAACCAGTGTGAGGAAATAGAAATGTGATTGACAGTTGATGGTTAAAATTAGGAATTAAATCTTGGGTTTTCATCACGAAGTGACACCAACTATAATGCCGAAACTAATTAACCAAATGGATGAATGAATTTCGCGCCAAAATCTGAGACCTGTTATTTCACATATGGTTGGTTTGTCCATAAATTATAGTTTCGCCATGGATTATTTTACTTAGCCGAAAAATACTGAAATGTATATAAAAAGTAACAAAAGAAGATGATCTAGTCAAATATACGGTTAGAGTGTTTTGTTGGCATATGTGGATCTGGGAGGATTTTCTCGAGATTGCCTCAAGTCACAAGCATTCTAAGTTGAGATGGATGGTGAACGAAATGCGCATCTTGGATACCACTGTTAGCCAGCACCAGTCTAAAAGTAGAGTGGTTTTCAGTTTCTAGAGGATAATCTTTTTGTTCAATGTCCAATTAGTCACATAACTGACTACTGATTTTTAAATACTAACGAACCAATGTAAGTCATATAACTATTTTACTTCAGTTTGTCAACTGTTGCTAGTCCACTTCAAAAGGACATCTAAATAATTTATTAATTATATCGACATGAATAAATAGCATTTTCATGAATTTCCTGAAATTCTAACAAGAAGCTATGACTAAAAGAGTCAAGCAGTTCTATACTGTGACATTAATCTGTTGACGGTAGTGAATAAAAATTGTGACATTTCACAAATGCTTTAAAAGTGAGAACATAAGCATCTGGAATTTGAGACCTGAATTTGCCATATTCCATTCAGTGTATGTTGATCTGTAGGAACGCTGAGGAATATTGAACTAGGGCGAAACGACTATTTATTTCGCCTTGTTTTCCTATGGCTCCTCAAATAACATCATTTCCTGATAAAAAAATCACTATTATACACCTTTATTTTACTCGAATTTTTCCTTAGTTCATTGGTTTATTACAACAACAATTAAAAAATACTCATTTTACCTCATGAGAATCACTATTCGGTAATTGATTCATTGAATTGAAATTAACCGGTTCCATAAGACCCATTTGAAATTGTCTTAATAATGACTGTACAGAAGAGGCAGCATCTCGTGCTTTTTCTTCAATACGACAAACACTGTTTGCTAAATCTGCATAATCTGAACGTAATTTTTCGAGTAATAAATTTGTTGAATTATTTCTAGAATTAAATGGTTTCCGTTGATTTGAACAATAATTATATGGTGAATGCTGATTATAATTTCGGTCATAATGATCAGTGATATGATTGACATCATGATGACACTGCAAATGATGTTGATTATGATAATGTCTATATTTAGTTGGTGTATAAGTAGGCAAATTGAATGAATCATCTTTAATCACTGGTTTGTATAAATTTGTTATATAACTTTTTCTATTATGATCATCATCAATATCGTGATTATTTGTTAATAAAGTTGACGGTGTTTGTGCAAAGCTTCGTGTACTTTCACGAATTATTGAGGCTTGTTTTTGTTGCTATGTAAAATTGTATTCAAAGTAAAATAAACAATTCAAAATAAAATACATAAAGATCTTTTAGAAAGAGTTATTATAGCCTACTTAAATCAATTAGTATTGACGGGTTTAGGAAACTATAATCTGAACCAAATATGCTGGTATCCTGATTAGTTTATGTTTCTGTATACCGTAAGTTAACCTACGGTAGTTCATCATTAGTGTTATGATTCAGCATAGAGTTTACTTGAACAAGGAAACAAGTTATTATTGATAGACGAATTTGTATTCTACCATTACTATTCAATAATTTTAAATAGTCTTCTTCTTTTCTAGTCTAAGTGTTTCAGGAACTCTTTAAAGATAACTCATTGGTCGAATTATAATTGCTTTAATCTAGGATTTAGTAATTTGGTTCTGGTTGGTAAAATTTTAAACTAATCGATATCGTCAGCAATATGTTTCTTAACATTATTTATACTTACCTTATTTAACAAACCATTAACCATTTCATGAGCTTTATTCAAAGCATGTTCTCTATTTTCTTGTAACTTTTGTATATCATTTAATCTTTGACGTAATATTCTATTGGCTGATGTTAGAGCATCAACTCTTGGATCACCTGATATTGGATTACTTAAACCTTGTTCATATTTATCTCTAAAAATTAAACAAAACATAAAGATTTAAAGTAAGTAATTAGTGGAAATAGATTATTTTGTTATAATAGACTAAATATAATTTCATTAAAAAAATGTGACATATATAGTCGAAAACAGTACAACACCCAAATAGCATCAAAATAGAACTCTCAAGGGTAGTAATCACTTGCTGTCAATTAACAAACTTCTTACATATACTAATCAAAAGTACCTAGAAATAGGATTAAAAAAACAATAACATAAATATGGTGAACAATTATTTTTACATAACGGACTGATCTTAGTTGGGAAATCACTGAAAACAAGGAGGCATTGGACAAGCATTATATCGTAGTATGAGACACCTCAGTGATGAGGATTCACAATCCCGACAGCGATCCAGACCATGACCTAAATCTATCCTTGTAAGTGCTTAACCTCAAGATTACACTTTTATTTTTAATTAAATCGTGATTTTGAGCAATTATCTTCCCATTCTTTTGAAGGATAACTATCTCACTGAAAGTTTTTCGAAGTTTATTTATCAGGATTTGTAGATCACGTTTTTGAATAAATGAAAATGTCACCACTTTTGTCTGTTAAACATTTTACTGAATTCGCCAATGTATCATAGCAGTAACGTTAGAATGTATTCAATAGTAAGTGATCTGATCCTGTTACCTTAATTATAATAATTAGACTTCATTTCTCCATATATAAGGAAAACTATTACATATATGTCACTGAAAGTGCTTTGTCATAAGTCAACTAATCATATAATTAATTAATTTAAATATTGACTGTCAACTATCTATTTTAAAAACAACAACTATGGAATTTATTTTCATAAATATACCTTTCAATTGAACCTAGTTCCCTTTCAATTGAATGACACCGTCTCCTTAATCTATCCAATGATCCAGAATATAAGTCTGAATTTCGATAAAATGAAGAATTCGGATGAATAGTATGTAAATTATTTCGACGTGAACTAAATACAGATTTCAAGAGAAAAGGACATGAAATTTTATTCAACTTCGTCAAGTAATTGTATGTCTTTGATAAAAATCAATAAGAAGGCAATATGTTTGTGAAATAAACAGTTAAACAAAGAATTCGTTAAGAAACTAATGAATAGTAATATTAATTTCTGTTAAAAGTCATAATTTGTTTGCATCAAACAATTACACTACTTAAATTATAACATAATACTGTGTTGTGTGCTACTTATACTGATATAAGTAGTATATGATGTTAGTCGTGAACAGAAGGTCTGACAGCAGAGAGACAAGAGGATCGAACAGTAAAGAATGTAAACAGAATGCAAGTGGTATAAAAATGCAAAAACAATGAAGTCTGAGTCATTTTAAGACAATTGGTGGACATTTTGCAAATAAGGCATTTACTTTATGATTGTTAGATTCTATTAAGATGTCCTGTAATTTTGTGTTAAACACATTCGATTGTCCGCACTGGTGTTCTTGTTCACTACAATACTTAATAATATTAAAAATGGACTAATTTATGAATTAAGAACTAGAATTTACTTTTATGTGATCAAAGATCAGATAATTAAAATAGTGGATTGTAATTAATGATCATGAATCAACAACGCCTAATTTCATGTTTAAATGTGTTTGAATTACCTTGAATTATTTTGTAATATGATTAGAAATAAATTGAAGATAAACTAATGTTCGTCGTTCTTGTTATCTTCCACAATATAAAAAAAACAGGTTTTTGTCAAGAAATGGTTATGTGTTAACTCAGTACTTCTGGGAATTTAGCAATTGAAAGATGTACATGAACATCAAGATATTTAAAATATTCCTCCTATTTACAGTACTATATGTTAATCCGTTTGAAGAAACTATCTTTGGAAATCAGCTTTTTTACAGTCACCAGTGATACGTAATAATATTAATCCAGTTTCTTTTTATAATCTATTCAAGATAAGCATTACATTTGCTGATGGTATCTGGCCAATGGATGTTGAGTATCTTGCGCAGAAAACTGTTTATAAATATTTGTACCTTCTTGATGGTGGTTATTGTAGTTCTCTGAGTTTCAGCTCCGTACGTACAGTAGAACTGCTTTCACGTTCGTATTGAAGATTGTCACTTTGATATTGGTTGACAGACAGATGTTTTGAGTTCCATATGTTCTTCAATTGAAGGAATGCTTTCCTTGCTTTGCCAATCCTCGCCTTTACGTCTGCATCTGAACCTCCTTGTTCATCAATGATGCTTTCCAGCTATGTGAAGGACTCTACATCTTCCAGAGTTTCGCCACCAATTGTGATTGGATTGGTGTTCTCCGTGTTGTATTTGAGGACCTTGGATTTCCCCTTGTGTATGTTGAGGTCTACTGATGCAGAGACTGCTGCTACACTGGTTGTCTTCATCTGCATTTGTTCGTGTGTATGAAATAGCAGGGCTAGGTCATCTGCAAAGTCCAAATCGTCTAATTGGTTCTGAGCTGTCCATTGTATGCTGTGTTTTCTCTCAGATGTCGAGGTCTTCATAATCCAGTCGATCACCAGAAGAAAGAGGAAGGAGAGAGTAGGCAGTCTCGTCTGGAATGCGCCTGTCAGCTGTCTTCCATGCACTACTTTGCACTGTAGTCCGTCGTATGAGTTCCGGATAATATTGACAATCTTCTCAGGAACTCCGTAGTGTCGAAGAAGTTTCCATAATGTCCTCCTATCTACACTGTCGAATGCCTTTTCATAATCAATGAAGTTGATGTATAGTGACGAGTTTCGTTTCAACTGATTGTTCGACGATGATCCTCAGAGTCGCTATTTGGTCTGTGTACAACCGATCCTTATGGAATCCAGCTTGTTGATCTAGAAATTGGGAGTCTACTATGTCTTTTATCCGGTTCAGCAACGCTCTGTTAAAGACTTTCTCTGGTACTGACAGTAGTGTGATGTCTCTGTAGTTCTTACATTTACTCAGATCGCCTTTCTTTGGAATCTTGATGAGGTATCCTTCTGTCCAGTCCATCAGCACCTGTTCCTCCTCCCAAATCTTCTTGAACAGGTGAGGCATGTTTGTAGCTAGTTCGGTGTCTGACTTCAGTGCTTCAGCTGGTATATTGTCAGGTCCTGTTGCTTTCCCGCTCTTGATTTGTCTGATCGCTATTCTGATTTCTTCCGTCGTTGGTGGATTGACATCTATTGGAAGATCTGTGTATGCTGCTTCGATGTCCGGTGGATTCATTGGAACCGGCCTATTCAAAAGTTCCTTAAAGGACTCTACACATCTGTTCCACTGTTCTTGAATTTCAGTGATTGGCTTGCCTCCTTTGTCTTTGACTGGTCTCTCTGGTTTACTATATTCTTCGTTGTATTGTAAAGCTGTTTTTTATTCCCTTCGCTTGCAGCTTTTTCCACCGTTGTTGTTAGTTCTTCCATGTATTTCTGCTTGTCGGCTTTAGTGCTCTTCTTCCTTTGCGTGTTTACTCCTATGTACTCAGCTTGTGTTAGGACTTTCTCTGCTCGTGTTCGGCTGTTGTCAATTGCTGTCTTCTTAGTCTTCCTTTCTTGTCAAGTGTTTCTATAGATATCCATTCCTTATGATGATGCTTCTTGAGGCCCAGAATCTCCTGACACGTTGAAGTTAATGCTTCTTTGATACCTGGTATCTGTAAGCCATAAAGTATTCTGAAACGGTTAATTCTGATATACGTTTGCATATTAACATTAGAGATGATTTAAGCATTAATAAATGGCCACTTTTAGTCACCAAACAAAGAACGAAATGATCAGTTGGCAATGAGCGAATAACTATTAATAAAAGCATTCTTTAAAAATGCAAGACAGTTTCTCAGTACATAACAAAATTCAATTCGGGAATTTTCGGAGTGAAACAACAACTACTCATTTATAGTATAGGTCGATTATATAAATTTCACAGACTACTTTACGAAGTTTTAGATAGATAATGATTTGAATTCAAATTTAATTATTCTTCATAACTGGATACATAACACGACAGAGACTTATTTACAATAATTTGCTTACATTTTATTTAAATACTACATCTGAAAGAGTACTAATAACTAAACACATGACTGTAAGATACAATCTTGAAAAACGTTTACTTGAAGGCAATAAGCTATTTTGTAGTTTACATTAGGGACTGACTTTAACTTGACAACCACTGTAAACCTAGAAGGAACTAGATAGCTATGACTCTGTTGTGAAACACAGCATAAAGAGGAAACATCTGTGAAGTATTTTTTGCATTGTGGTTACAACCATACCGGCCCAAAACTATTTGCAAACCTTCAATGTTAATGATTCATTTCATTGTTGAAAATTATAGACGAAAAAATTACAATGAACAATTGTTAAGTACTTACTGAATACTCTTGCTGTGTAGTCCATTTTCATTTGAATGGTTTTCAGTTTGCAGCTCTGTTGAGTGAAATGGTTTAGGTAGATTATCTGCATACTCAGAATTAATATATGTAGGTGAATCTGCATGTTGTTTATTTATCTGTAATTAATATATATTTAATTACAACGAAACTATTAAGAAAGTAGCAAAGAAAATTATTTACTTCTTGTTGCTATAGAAGAATAATGTAAGTACTTCGAGTTACATCTAGAACTTATATTCTTAATAAACAGCATATAACGCTAGAATCCACCAAGTCGCAAATGAGAAGACAAAAGACAAATGAAAGGAACGCTATTCCAAACAGTGTCACTTATGATACAAAACTATCAAGCATTTATAGTTTTTAGTAAAAACGAAATCATCATTATAGTCCTCCGATCCACATACAGGGGGTTATTAGCATTTGTCCAATAAGGAGGCTACTTGTCGAGATTCTAGAGATGATTCGATGAAATATCTTCGGCTCTTTCTGAGCTTCTTAGAACTTACTCGACTTCACCCGTGGGCCGTCCACGCATTTGACGCCATGAACAATAATATATTTCAAGTAAACAATTTTGTCTATAACTAATAGCAACAGTTTATGAATTAACATTATTTAAAGACCAGTAAAAAAGAAGAAATGATCAAAAACAGATCATAAGTTTAGCAAATGATCGCTTAATGGGAGAATGAATTAACTATTTTAAGTTATTTCCACGAAGAAGACATTATCCCTGGATATGCTCAAAAACTATGCAGGGATTTTAATTTGTCATGTAATTGGTCGGGATAAAACTTCAAAACTGAAGTCGAAATTACTGATGTTCAAAATTCAAAGTCTTGAAGTAGTAAATTAGCTGTAAGAACATATACATGTATATACAAAAACTGAATTTAGTCAATAGTGTAGATTCCATAGAACCAACTTGTGGGTAAATATTTTCTTTACATAGATGACTTAATATTGCCGATGAATGAATAACGACGGTTGAAAATGGTGGAAGTTGGTAAGCTCCTGGATGTGTTGTGCTTTTTTTTATAAATGAAGTGCACTGAACTGATGTCTGAGATTTTCTCGGAATTCTGAAGTTTACACGGAGAATTCCATCTTGCAAAACTATTTACAGAGTTTCTTTGGTGAGGTAAACATTAATTATGAAACGAAAATCAAGTTCTCAATAACATAGCAAGTTGCAACATAATGTACTATCATCCATACGGCTAGTTTTAAGTAGAATAAAAGGCACATCCTAGACGTAATTTTCAAGTAATATTAGAAGATTCTATTCCATTTAGTTTATCAATAGATGTTAATATACGATTATCCTGGTTAGTATATGTAAATGAAGTAATCTTATACGATAATGACAATAATTCAACAAATGATGTCAAAAACGGTAATTTATTCTGTATAATCAAGTTATGATATGATTACATGATAAATCAACTTAAATTTTGTTTTCAGAGGAAAAGGATAATCAGATTGTCAAGACGGGCATTTATAATTTACAAACAGAAACAATGGGTACTGCTGGTTGTTACACAGGTAAGCAAAAATAACTTCAGCCAAATAACAACACGTGATGTTGCGAAAGTTTGTGAAGGTTGACATGGAGTGTCATACGGAGTAACAATTACAAATATTAGAATTGAGGTGTTCTGTTCCATATAGAACACTCCCTTCATTTCAAAGAAAAGCATCACTGATGAAACCCATCCATCATGAAACTTTGGTCTTAGACTTTTTGATGACTAACTTCAACTATTTAATATTAATCAAACTAATAATTACGTTACAGAATGATCGATAGAGCCTAGTAAACATTAAGGGATGGCTAATATAACATTTTTCACTAAATGTAAGCTGTTCGACTAAAATTGTAACCCATTAGTTTATTTACTCTACAATATTGTGACTGTACTACATTTTATGAATTAATTTTCGATTCAAAAAAGATGTCAACTTTCAATAACAACAAAAAATTGTATAACGTACAGGAAAATATTCTGAATGAAGATTCGTACAGTGTTGATTGTAATCTGGTTTATCATTGAAATCTAAAAAATAACTAATTGGTGAATGAATTGATCTATTGTAATCGGAATCTTTAATAGTATTTATTCTATTTTCAATTGGAGATTGACTTCTCTGTGTTCTTTGATTATTTGAACTATGCAATCTTCTTTCATGATGATCAAGATGAATATGATGATTAATCCTATCATTCTGATTATATTCATTTTTATCTAAACTTTTATTGCGTACTTTCAATGAACTACGAACTCGACTGTTTGATTTTGAAGATACTCTTCTAGGTTGTGACTAAACATAGAAAAGTTAACATAAATAAAACATTAGGACAAATGATCACATTTGAATGTATTGAATAAGTAATATTGCTCGAAATTCTTCCAATGTTATTTAATAGTAACTGTCATATATCTGATAGAGTTGAAAACGCCAGAACTTACGAAAAAACGTCTAGAAATCAGTAAAATGTTTGTTTGGCTAATTTTTCATAATCTATTAGACAAAAAAGATGGAAGTTTTAAGATATGAATACTTATTCCGCCCCCCCCCAAAAAAACACACAACTAAATCCAAATATCATCACTTTTAATTACTCAAGTCAATATAACTGACATATGCTACATAAACAGGATATTTCATCTATTTGAATTTAATTGCATAAATAACACCATTTTTCATAAATGAATAAAAACAAGTTTTGAAAATTGAAAATACTGCAAAACAAAACAAAAAAAACACGGAATATCTTAGCTAAAAAAACATTAATTTTTTTTCAGGAAGGGGTTTTGTGCACATAATAGTGAATTAATAGTTGAATTCGTGAATCATTTTAAGCTAGACCACCATGGGAAACCTGGAAGCACTGAACGGCCATTTCATCTTACTGTAGGACTCATCATTAGTGCACATCCACGATCCCGCTGCATGAGATTCGAATCCAGGATCAATCAGTCTCGCACTCTAACGTTTAACCTGTAGTTCACTGAGTCGACATCCAACGGTGTTAATGTTTAACTTCAACCAGTTCAAGAAATCAAACGACACAGTCACTATTGTCTTCAGTTAGTTACTATCTCACAACGGACCCGGTTGAACTACAGGAAAAACCTCTTGGAGACCGTCACTAGTGAGCATATATTGATTATAATCAGAAAGAGTTTTGTTCACAAAACCCCTTTCTGTTCTGAGATAGTAACTCAGTAAAGACAATGGTGGATGGTGGTGCAATTTCGTGGATTGGTTTAAGTTAGACATTAACACTGTTGGATGTCAGCTCAGTAGTCTACAGGTTAAACGTTCGAGCGCGAGACTGATTGGTTCTGGGTTTGAATCCCGAGGGGGGCGGGATCGTGGATGCGTACTGTTGAGGACTCCCATACTAGGATGAAACGGCCGTTCAGTACTTCCAGGTTTTCCATGATGGTCTAGCTTCAATTGACTCATGAATTCAACTATTAAATTTATTAGATCATACTTCTAAATGGTGAAATATCATATTGAACATCATTTTAGTAATACAAAGTAGAATGAGAATAAGTAATAATATAAACGTCAACTGTCAGGGACACGTTTAATCAACCTTTGTCGTGAATGCTCGATGATAATACTTCTAGTTATCCAATAATTAAGTAAATAAACTAAAGCAATAACAATGCGTTATTTTTTTGTTATGAATAAAGAAATTTGGTGATAGGTGATTGTGAAAAATTAAAGTAAATTACTAAGATTTTAAGGTTGTTCACCAGACTAATTATTGATACACTTAATACTTTATATAATTCAGTAGTATTTTTGAAACTGTTTAGATATTTGGGTGAATACATAATCAAACGTGAAATGAATTATTCAACGAATCAATAAAAAGTATTTAATTTTTTTTGGAAACTTATTTTAAATTATCGTTAGAGCTCTTAATTGCCAATTAATTTCTTTTAAATTGTGCAACAGAACTAAAAGTATTATCACTAAGGTCATTATAAAAGTTTAGTTGCTAGTTAATTATTCTAAAAATACATTTTATTCAATGTTATCATACTTAATTATGATGAATGAACGTAATGATTTATAATTTTTTTTTAAAAATCGGGTAAGAGTGAAGATGTTCAGTGTAGAAAATGTAAAACATATACAAAAATAAGTCGTTACATGAATCAATAACTAGTCCTTGCTTTTCTACTGCAATATAACCGGGGATTTCATAATGCTGAAACTAAATATTTGCTAATACTTATTGTACTACTTTTTTAGATCGTAATTTCAAAAGATAACAGTTACTCAATAGTGATTTAGTAAAAACTTCTAGAACTGTTGATAGTTAAAAACACTAAGCAAAGAATCTCTTCTTCATATTCTCCAAATCAGCTTGCACCATTTAATCTCATAAAAAAGCGGAATACAAAAGCTTTAAGTCATCTGATGAACATGTTGTCATTTGATCATAGTATTAGAATACGGTTTTCTAATTTCAGTCAATGAAATCATAGGTATAAATCGCTTTGGGTAACTTTATGCAATATCATAAAACATAAGTAGCTTAAAAATTTAGTCAGTTAAATTGCCACCTAATATATTATATGAAAATGCTCTCTACTACATGTAGGGATATATATACATAAATATATATACTTCTGTGTGAAACTGAGTTTGCACACTATCCTTAGAGTATTCTACGTCAAATGAATGATATGTGAATCTAAAACAGATTTATAAATATTCAACAATACAAACAGAATCATTAGATGACTTATCTAAGAAAATGTTAGATCAAATGTAATTGATCAAACAAAACATATGATCTTTATATACCTAAATGGTATTTTCTTATGAGATACATTACAACTTAAAATAAATACCATAAAAGAGTTTGATAAATTTTATAGGAGTTTTCTTCATAGCTATTCAGGTTGAAACATTTTTCAGGTTGGAATTTAAACAAGCACATTGATATTCATCATTCGAGTAGAAGATTAACATTCAATCAATATAATCACATATCTGCCTTCAATTACCTTGTTTATATCAAATTTTCAGTAAAAAGAAAATGCAAGTTAGAAAAAAGTGGAAAAGGTGCATTAATTAAATATTGACTAACGGACATTATTATTTAAGTATGCCGATACTTTCCAGAATCTTACTTTTATTGTAAGTTACAGATTATTATCCCAGGAAAAGTAGTAATACCACTGACGAAACTATTAAAGGTTAAAAACATGGCTATTAGTGGAATCCAGGACGCGCATTTCGTTCTACTTGGGACTCATCAGATGGATGCCAGGGTCCTGGATTTCATTGCTAGCCATCATACATCGCTAATTATCATGCTTTTGATTTAAGGCAATATCAAGGCAATCCGCATAAGATGCACATATGCGAATTAGAGATTGATTAATTAAAGTCCTATACATCAATGGGAAATGTTTATACAACCAATACATAATGTAATAAAAGTTAATTTAGTCGAAGTTTCAGTACAATCAGGAGAATAATGCATAAAATACTGGCTTAAATAACAGTTTAATATGATTTGACACTGTCGATAGTTAGCTAGTAACTTTTTGTGGAAAAAAAAGTGGGAGGAAAAGTGACAACAAAACAGTGCTGTCAAACGTTCAACCTGAAATCACTGTACATTATTTGAATCTTAATCACTAAATAAATAAAGATTAAATTATTAATGTAGTTTTTATTTAAAAGAAAATATGTTCTGTGTAAACAATCAAATTGTCATTGAATCAACGTTTCAATGATGACATTGATATTAGATGAAGTTAATGATAAATTTCAGGTTAGTAACATGTGAAAATAAAAATCAAAATCATTGGATCCCAGTTCAATGAAGTAAATATGTTCTATTTGTTTCCTGAGACTTGAAATTATCATGTCAAATTATCTATGTGTCACTACTATTGTATTAGAGATTTCTGAACTAAAATAAAATGATAATCATAGACTACTTAGTTTTCAATAACTTTTCAATTGTTATCAGTTCATTCACTTTCTATTATTACGCAACATTTCAATAAGGACTAGAAAAAAAATCTTTCTGGCAACAGACAAGTACACCATTAAACAAAAGTTAAAAAATGTGTAAATGACTTTTTCCTTTTGTAAATACTATTTTTTTAATATAAAAAATCTAAGTCAATAATAATTAAATTCATTTGAATTATTGTAGTTATTCATCAATCATAAGTTACTGATAATTAAGTCAGTCAGTCAGTCAGTAACAACGTAGAACTTAGTACGTGCGTACACCAGTTCGATTTGACATACCACACTAGCACAGAGATACAATTATCAATCCAAATCCCATAGTGGTAGATGTAGTAAGAGTATAAGCAGTAATGGGAAACATTAGCGTTTGGAAATGCTAATCAATCCAAAAAATCAACTAGATGAGATCATTTCATACTGCTGGACATTTTTCTAGTTAATTCCTTAAATATGATGATCTATAATATGTTACTAAATAGTAAAGGTTTTTTCTTACCATATGAGTTTATCTTACTGGACAACACTGTTTATATAATTTATTAGGACTAAACATGAATAAAATCCAATTAGTATAAAACATTACTCCATATGTGGTGCGTGCTACTTATATCGACTTAAGTAGTATATAACGCGAGTCAGGAATGTAATGTCTGGCAGCAGAAGATTGGGAAGATCAAGAAATTAAGAACGGGAATAGAAAGAAATTAGCATAGAAATGCAAGAACAATGAATTCCGAGACAATTATTGAACATTTTGAAAATTAGGTATTATAGTATGGTTTTTCTATTTTACCAAGTAACTCTGTAATGTTGTGCCAAATATAATTCGATTGTCCTAACCTGTGTTCTCCTTCACTACACATATACAGCCAGATTTTGATGAAAGTATGATGAATTTGCATAAAACAGTTTGTAATAATCTTTATTGATAAATAAGGTAAATAACCGAGTATAATAAAATTTCCTTAAGCAAAATAAGATATTTCATAACAATTATGTTTTTAGTTTGTTTAAAACTCAATCAGGTGATACTGGGTTATTACCCTGTGTATTACCTTTGACTTTGACGATAGTTTTGAAGAACTAGATAAGTAATTGAATCTTTGCCGGTCAGAATGATTTCCTGTAGTATTTTTATTTGTCCTTTCTTTTCTTTCACTGTACAACATTTTTGTTGGTAATTTGTTTTGATTTCTTGAACATATTAAATCATGACTAAAACTTCTGTCTGAATACCGATTCATTTGTTTATGGTCTGTTAAGCAGCTGTTTATAACTTTACATCCAGTAACTGACTG